AACATCATCCTGCTGGTAGTACAGCGGCGTGTCATACTCCTGGGGCAGACTGCGGATGTATGGCAGCCAGAACGAAGAGGGGCTGGCACGCTCGCACAGCAGGTGCAGGGCCAGCGTCACGTTGCCCATGGCCTGCATGATCCGGTCCTGACCATACAGAGGACCTGAGACACACAGTAAGGTCAACAATAAGATCAACAGCCTGGGGTAAACATTTAGGAAATGCTAGCAGAATCAGGTTTTTTATTTTTTAAAACATGAACAAACAATTCAATTGTTGAACTCAGCTACAATGGACATTTTTTAATGTCTGCAGTGTTCATATTGAAATAGATAAATGCAGAATATTTCCTATTTGCAAAAAAAGGAAACAAAAGAGCAGATTCCCCCAGGCCTCAAGTAATGTTTTATCCCAGCTATGCACTGCACATTGAAAATAACTGCAGTGCAGTCATTTTAATAACAAAGATGTTTCACTGCATTTTGTAATCAGTTGATTATAAAATGCAGTGAAACATCTTTGTAACTGCATTTCATAAATGATCCCTGATGTGTGTAAAGAAGATCAAGCTCACTAATTATTAAATTAATTGATGAATTGCATATTGAGGCAGGTTTACTCTACTGTACTTCTAACTCTTACCAAGCAGAGAGTTTTGGGCTGATTCCACCGTCATCAACATCTTCCTTGGAATCCAGAGGAACAGCTCTTCTGCCTTTAGACACACACAAACACACCAGAAAGAGTAAAAAAGGAAACTTCTGCCTTTATTTTATTGATTAAACATTTAGCTGACAAATTGATTTTGAATTCACACCTTAATGTCTCTGGTGGCTCGCAGGCCGTACCCTTCAGAACCAAAATTTGTCACTGTGAAGCCGTCACAGGATGCCCCGTTCTCCTGAGCCCAGCACATCAGATCAGGGAAGTAGTCCTCCCTGTTGCCATCAAATACCGTTGACAAACCTGAACACACAAAAACAGAAAATGAGTCACATTTATCACCTGGAAAGAAATGTGTTTAGGAGATGTTGAGTCCAGTCTGACCCTTCTGTTTCTTTCTGATCTTCTCCACCAAACCTCTGATCTGGATGTACTCCTCCCACTCTTTACCAGCAGAGGTTGCTGCACTACTGCATTCTGGGAAAACAAGTTTCAAACTGTTATGATTAAACAGTTTGTTAATGAGCAAAGGAGTGAAAGGTCAAAGGGTTAACATACTCTGCAGCAGTTCAGAGATGAGGTTCATCAACTCCTTCGGGGAAACTACAGTGTTGGCTCCAGAGCCTGACTTCTGAGTCTTCACCCGACTCTTCTTTCCCATGGTGCTGGATATACAACTGGACAACCGGACACGGCGCTGCCACACAGCAGAAGATCACATTAACAGGTCTGTTTAAATCTTAGACTATGTTCAAGAAAAACTGTTGAGAGAATAAAAAGTAAGGACAGTTAAACCAGTAATTATTGTATAACTGAAAAAAGGGGAAGGAGACAGGGTTTCTTCAGATTCTTTGCAAGACTGACTGCTACCACAGATCTTCCTGCCCAGTGTCACCATGCATAACAATTCTTTGATGATGCTTGGATGATAAGAGTAACAATATTTAATTTCATTTTAGGATAAATAAAGTATTTTTGAAATTAATTGAATTTCGAGCTATGATGCAGTCATAAGAAGTAAGGAAAAGGGCAACTCAGGGCAATTGATATATTATATCCAACCCTGTACGGTGCAGAACATTCAGACAGTAAGCCTAAGATGAATATCCATAACATCCGTTTCCTCAGACAGCACAGCACCTAAAATAATCATCACTGCAATCCCATTACAGATCTTTGTTGGAAAACCAGGAGCAAAGCAGAAAAGGTGCATCTGATCTGTTACAGCAACCAGTGGCAGAGCTAGACTTTTTTTCAAGGGGTGGCCAAAGGGTGAGCAAGGCTTTATCAGAGGGGTCCATATACAAATGATGAACGAAAGGAAACAAATAGAAAAAAAATACAGAATATGACCAAAAACAAATTCTCAAAAATAAATAAATAAACTGGTGCTTCTGGTGTGCAATAGGTTGTGCTGGTGGGGGCAGTTCAGTGCCATTTCCTTCTGCTTCACTGTCTTCCTCCCCAGAGTCTGACTCTGAATCTGTATCACCCTCATCTCTCTCTGGAACTTAATTGGAAATGCATAAACAGACACAATAAAAAAATGCAAAAAGCATCATGCTAACCTTTAGAATTAGGCTTATTGGATTGTAATACTTAATAACTCTCTGTCACAGCCTCTAACCCGCTGGTGATACACTTGGGCCTGGAGTCTCCTGGCTGGATTCTCCAGGTTGGTCACTGCTGCAGGGTTCTGTCTGGTCCTGGTCTGGTCCTGGTTTTTGCCTCTTTAAGAAGAACTGGGAGATATTCCCTTTTCTCTTCATTTGGGCTCTACACAAAATAAGACAGCCTGGTATTTACACTCCATGACTGTTTTGCAGAGACAACACTATTTTAACTATTATTTGAACTATAGTTTTTAGTTTCCTGTAGCTAGCTAAAATACTAAATTAAAAATGCATTAATTAAAATTAATCAATATAACTAGTTAGGTTATAATTCAAAGCTTTCATATGACATAGCCTACTTACATTTCAGTTATTATAAAACTTAATGGTTTTTCACATATTCTTACCACACACATTTCAAGCAAGAGCTGGGAGATATAAAACATTACAGGGCAGCATGTGCACTAAAACATATGTTAAAAGAATCTGTCTAAAACACGACCTACCAGCACTAGCATGGCTAATATAATAAACGAGGCACCAAGCAGCGGTACACAACCATTTTTTTTTTTTTCTTTTTAGAAATGTATGACAAGTGCCGCCTCTCATTAGGAAGGTAACAGCGGTTACCGCTGAGCGGTAAAATGTTGTAAATACCTGCAAAACTCCTCCACGGTGTAACTCTAAAGCCGTTGATGTGTTTTTGAACAAGCAGGAACCAACATGTCAGTTTAACCAATGAACAGCGTCGGGCATCGAGCTGCCTTCAGGGACAGTCGGAAATTACAGTTTTCCTGGCAAATCTTTGCCGATCTCATAAGTATTATATTTTAAAATGACCATTTCCAGTGGGGTGGCACTAGGGGTGGCCAGGGTTCTGTTGCCACCCCTCTGGCTCCGCCACTGACAGCAACAAGTCCTTTCAGCCAGGTTGTCTGAACATATTGGGTTGCATCACCCTTGTGAAAACTCAGCATCTTTCCTACACAAGTTCCTAAAGGATTGTTGATAATGAGGAGGTTTCTGTCATTGGGCGATTCAGTCACTAATAGAAAAAGTTGGCGAATCTGAATGAAAATTGTATCTGGAACTTTGTGTGGATTGATATAGTCAGTTTAAGATTTTGGAGCAAGAATGAAAACATTGTTAAGTAGGAAGACGTTGAGAGAAAATAAACTCAAATGAAATGAATCATCCAATTGATAGTTATTAATAAAATACATGAAACATCTTGTGTTTAATTTCTTAATTTCTACTTTTTCACACTACTTCAAATTCCTCTAGTGTGTAAACTAAGTGAATTAGGGGAACATTCTGGAACTCTGACCGATTGTAAACTTATGTAAATTTCTTGACACAAAATGCCTTGCAAGAAAACTTGACTGGAAATAGTTGTGCAATCTTATGCAAGAGATCTTATGTCTCAAAGCTGTGCAAAAACCTTAAACCACCTCGTAATTTTGCAAAATGCAAATCAATTGAGTTTCTGATCTCTATTTCAAAATGACTTTTTTCTTCAAAAGTCCATTATTTGATTGTAAACCCTAATAAATGGAGTATGGGTGAGTGTTTAAAGCTGCAGGAAGTTTCCAGCATGGAGGCAAGAAGCTAATGGCGCTGTTAGCTGATTGTTTTCAGTTTTCTGCCAACAAGGAATCCCCAACTAACCTCCAGTTGATTTCAGATTTGTACAGCCACCATGGCAACATTAGCGCCGTCGGAGGAGAGTCCTAACCCGCAGCAGGTCAGGGGAAACGCCCGCAGCTCATTCATCCACTGACCGTTAGCCAGCTAGCTCTTAGCTTCCAAATGTTAGGAGCCGCTCAAACGTAGCTTTAAATGATTTATTGTGGCCCATACAACCCACAGGACGCCTTCAAACTCGCACATGGAGCAGTCCTGCACAGCTGAAAACATACTTCGTGACACCAACCGTTATGGCTAACTCTGCTCGGTCCTACCTGTGGAAGTGACAGCAGCAGCTCCTTTTCTGATCCGGATCCAACGTTGAACGAGCCAAGCTTCTGATTGGACCAGCGTTTCGGGCCCAAAGTAAGCTGAGCTTCTGATTGGAGCAACTGAGACGGTCGACGTCAAACAGAATGGGCTGCTAGCTTTCTGATTGGTTAGTAAAGCAACTACGCTGAACTAGCTTGGAAAGATGCATTTGCTGGAGCACAAACTCGAATATTTCCCCTTTCCTCAGACTAACAACTCAAAAAAAAAAAAAAAAAAAAAACTTTTCTTGCGTTTATATATGTGTTCCTTCGCTCACTAGTCTTTGTAGAGCAATAAACTAAACTCAACGGAAAGAAACTGAATATAATTATTTCTACATACCCGTTCCCAAAATACATGAAACGCAACAGTGCATGAAGGTTTTAAAAGTCCCGCCTGTTACTCGTTCCTATTGGATGCTCGCTTTTAGTAGAATAAACTGCACCATAAATGGTAATTTGTCTACTAATGTGATTGGCTAAATGGCAAACAAGCTAAAAAAGATGTGTTTACTGCAACGAAGATATATATTATTACTGTGTGGAAAAAGTAAAAGAAAGTACACATACATATAATAATAATAATAATAAAAATTGTATGGTTTTCAGTTAGAATGCTTAGTCATTTTTGTGCAGTCCATAGGGGCCAGTATTGAGACTTGCTGAATGCAAATATATGGAATGTATTTTTTTTTACTGATTTATATTCAAATGATGCATATTTTATTCTACAAACACTCCAATCAAGCTTTTACAAAATGGTTCTGGGAGCAAACTGACCAGTTGTCTGTTGTTACACTGTCCAAATATAGTCTGCTATTAATAGTCTAACCTCACAGGCCTTCATGTTTTCTGCCCTGAATCTCTGCAGAGAAGCTGAGAGGAGAACGAGTGCTGGACTTGATTGTTTATAGACCTCTAGGTGAGTTTTTCACAGGAAAAGAAAATAATTGTGTTCTGAGGACATTAACCTTTTCTGATATTTAGCAACCTTAATGCAGCCACAATAAGATCTGACAGAGTTGAACTTAAGAGACTATTTGTTTACTGAGAATTGTAAACATATTGAGGAAAGAGAAACAATAACAAAATCAATTAATGCCTAATATTTATTTCTTTTGTAGTTTATCTCAGCCTTTTGCAGCATGGATGACTTCCAGCAGGTTGAGCAGGACTTCTACCAAACGGGATATTACATAGATGACCAGGGCCGTGCTGTGGCTTATTACGACACTGAGTAAGTGCATCAGTTGGCGATCTGGGTGGTTATTGGAGCTAATCTAACCCAAAGTCACATAAGAACCAAGATATTCATAGGTTAATGCTTCAGTCACGTTCTTCGATACTTAATACTAACAGCTTTATAAATTTTGGCCTCACATTGTTAAAATGTATATAGTCTAGTTAAATATGTAAAAAACAACATAATTTATTGGACCAAAATAACCTGAAAAAAGAAACCTTGTGCAACACTCAAAGAGGTTACATCAATTTTGGATTTTTGTTCTACTTCAAAACATACTTTAAATATAATAACTGATGTTTTTATGATGATGACTATCCAGTAGTGCACAAAATGCAAACAGTATGGATCTTTACATGGAGCAGCAGTATCCTGGAGAGATCTACCAGCCCACCATGCATTCCACTGGAACTGAGTATCTAGAGGAGGAACCTCCACTTCTTGTTGGTAATAGGCATTGTTTTGCATCTAGATTATATGAACAAAAATCTAGTTGATTGAACAGATTTATTTATAGTAAATTGTTGTATATATTGTTGTTGTAATAGTTGTAAAGAGTGGTGCAGTGGGTAGTACTGTTGCCTTACAGCAAGAAGGTCCTGGGTTCGATTCCTGGCCCGGGGTCTTTCTGCACAGAGTTTGCATTTTCTCCCTGTGCATGCATGGGTTCTCTCTGGGTACTACAGCTCCCTCCCACAGTCCAAAAACATAAAACTCTCCCTAGGTGTGTGTGCATGGTTGTTTGTCCTGTCTGTCTTTGTGTTGCCCTGCAACAGACTGGTGACCTGTACAGGGTATCTTGCCCAGAATGTTAGCTGGAGATGGTCACCAGCACCTCCAGATTCCACTAGGAACAAGGGTGTAAGAAAATGGATGGATGGATGGATGGATGGATAGTTGTAAAGACAGTTCAAAATGGTTCATTTGGATGAGAGTGACCCCAACTTAAAACAATATTCCTAATTCTCTAAATAAATCCTATGTTATGGCAGGAACTAGTGACAAATTGCTAAATAACTATAACCATATCTGTGTTATGGTCAACATTTTCTGAAATCGGTGTGCATTTCTCCAGAACTGGGAATTGATTTTGATCATATGTGGCAGAAGACCCTCACAGTTCTAAACCCCTTGAAGCCTGCAGATGGCAGCATTATGAATGAGACAGATCTGACAGGTCCCATCCTCTTCTCCATCGCTCTGGGCATCACTTTAATGATGGTGAGTGTGATTCTTGTGATGCAAAGGTCTCTGCACTTGGAGAGTTGTAGTTCTAACATCTAAACTATTTTTAACATAGGCAGGTAAAGTTCACTTTGGTTATGTGTATGGGATCAGTGCCATTGCCTGCATTGGCATGTACACCCTGCTGAGTCTGATGAGCCCCCTGGGAGTTTCTTATGGTTGTGTGGCTAGTGTCCTGGGATATTGCCTCCTACCCATTGTGGCCCTCTCTGCGTTTGCTGTTTTCTACTCCTTGCAGTAAGGCAGTCTAGTAATTTTGTTTAGACTTCATTTATTTAGGTATTTGAGAATGAAAGCTGAACTTTTGTATTTTAACTTTCATATTTTTTGTTTTCACAGAGGTATTGTGGGAACAGTCCTGGCTCTGATGGCCATTTGTTGGTGCAGTTTCTCAGCCTCCAAGATCTTTATCTCCACCCTGGCAATGCAGGAGCAGCAACTGTTGGTGTTTTACCCTTGTGCTCTGTTGTATGGACTTTTCACACTGCTCACTATCTTTTAACATCCAGTTGATCAAATCCAACTTCTAATTTCCATACAGAGGTCTACTGTCTGTGATTCCTGCATTTTACAAATATCTTTGGAAGTGTGAATGCCATTAGATATTTGCCCTCAAATACAGGAGTAAATGAATGTGGAGATTTTTGTTTTGTTTTTGCCCCAAAACAAGAAAGTCAGTATTTTTTTTTCAAAATGTCTGCACAGTTAAGAGAGAGGCTATTAAAGGGCAATACAAATACGAGAATCTATTAATCCCAGTACAAACATTCAGCAAGCACCAAAGCAGTCATTCTTCTTTGTTGCAGCAGGGGGCGCTAAGCTTCCACATATTGATGAAGTTATGCTGTTGAGTGTACAGAGAACGTGCTTTTTCTTCGCCCTTATCATGTGCAGCAGTGTTTAGAAAGTGTATGGAAACAGGTCGAATTTAAGGTTTTCCGTTGTTTTTTGTGAAGACGTTCCAGCTTAATCAAGTTTGCTTCAGAAATATCTCTAATTAGAATACTCTTCTTGTCGCATTCACTTTGTTGCGCAAGTGTATGTGTTGCATGATCTTACAGGTGTGAATCAGTCAAAAATGAGAAATACTTTAGCTTTCTTTGGGACAAAATGGCACAAAAGATGAAAAATACTACCCATGCTGTTGTTGGTGATAGAGCAAGAGTATCTGTTGTTGACATACAGCTGGATGAAGATACCACTGATATTGAGGTGTGTAAAGAAAACCTGGTATGATCAACAAGAAAATGTATTGATCACAAACATTGACTATTGAGTTTCTTAAAATATGAGATTCAAAAAATAAATGCAACAGTGAGTATCACCAGTTACCAAATCGCTTAAAAGTGCCATTGACTGGACAACAGTTGAAAAAAGTAGAAATGTGACTTAAAATGCTGCAAGTTTATCAAATCTGCTGTAAAGTATGAATTCATCTTATAGGTTTAAACTAAAAGTTCCCATATTTTCTGGAAAACCATCAAAAATTAGACATTTACTGAACTATTAAAATAAATCATTCTCACATCATATCAAAGTTGTATGGAGACATAATTTGACTCTGATGGCTTCAGACTCTGTGATATTCTGCAGACAACTCAGTTGAGGGTTAGAGGGAATAGAGAGAAACAAGGGGAGGCAAGATGTGGAGCTTCATATAGTTTGCTGTGATATTAACAGTGACTAACTTCTAAAGGGTCCCCAGTCAGGCAGCTCTCTATCCATGCACAAGGTCAACCAAATGGGTTGGGTGGGAGAACAGAGAGAAATGTTTGCATTAAAGTCAATTCTGCAGCTTGAGAGGCCTGAGTCCACAACACAAACAAATGAAACAAAATCAGCATTGACAATAAACTCTGAACTTCAGCTGCTGTCCTTTTCAGCCACAACCAAAGATCGAACAATTTGTTCCTATTTATGAACACTTATACTTACATGACCATGTCATGGAGCTGACAGATAAACGATGATGCTAGCACACTCTCATTCCTAATGGCAATTTAGACTGAGTCACTCCTAACAGTCATGTTTTTGGATGTGGGAGGAGGCCAGACTACCCAGAGATAACCAATGTATGCATAGGGATAATGTATGAACACCCCAGGTTGGGATTTGCCTGGGATAAGTTAGGATGTTTAGATGTTTTAAGCCTGTGTATTCTTGACTTAAATTTACTTAGAGGGGGCTTTAAAGGTAAATCTTATTTCCATCAGGCTATTCCATTGGATTATTAAGAGAGTTTCCTCCCGTGCGCCATGACCTAAAGTGTGGTTTTAACCTGAGCCCTAACTCAACCCTTCAATTGATGAATTCCTCTGCTGACCTGTTGTCAAAATACTTGATTCTATATCCTCAATCTGAACTGAGGAAAAGCACACAGTTAGCTGAAGTGATGGCATAAACAACAGCCACGGATTGTGTTTATATTAGTGAGAACAACCTCCCTTCCTTACGGAGGCGATATATGTGAGGGAACATGTGTGCATGTTTGACAGAAAACAGAGGGAAAAGAGAGGACAATCCCACGGTGGGACTGTGAGGAGCAAGCCCGCTCTTTCTTCTCCTAACTGTTTGGATTGGTTAAAGCAAACAAATCCCTCCGGCCAAGCGGTAGGCTCAAGACAAGCACTCCCCGGGCCCCGCACAGTCCTCTCGCTACTTTACACTAAACTCTTCCAGATGATTTATGAGCTCTCTCTTCTTAGAGGCTCTTTGCTGCTCACCTTTCATTCGGCAAAGCTCGGCTGACGGGGATCTGTAAGTTTACTTGGCGCGCTGGAAGCCGTCATTAACCAGGGAGATCTGTTTTAACTCGCGTCCTCCCTGCAGCACTTTATAGTGTTTAAGGATGTAATATGGATTAGCAATGTTTGCTGTACTTCCTGCTTGTACAGTCTGTTGTCTGTAGGTTGAGATGAAACTTGAAGGTTTCATAAGAAGTTTCATCGGTCTTGTGTTTCCCTGTGAATGGCCACACATTCAGGTCCATGAATGATCACAGATGCAACCAAAAGCCATGTCCTTTATTTATAAGGATTTTTACTTCACTGTTTGAACGCAGACATTATCTTTATTTTAAGGTGAATTATCAAGTTAGAGAAGATTTGCACTGTACTACCTCTGTGATGTTACTTTTTTGTGTTTTGTTCTCATTAGTCCTGTCTTTGTTGGATCCCCATATTCCATTATCATCATAAGGATTACTAACCTGTTTCAATTTCTTTGCTTATTCCTGACAGACATTCACTACATTTATGCTGTCACACTAGAGATCCAATTTCCTAAGCCTGTTTTACTACCACCCTAGATAATAAGTTTAATTACTGAAATAAATTATTGGAAGGTGCAATTTTTTTGGTGTGCCACTGTAAAATGATCTATATGTCTACAAAGAAAAGAGGTGTCTCTGGATGAGATGATGAACTCGACTCTCCGCATCAGTGCTGTCCAAAGCCAGTCCTCAAACATTGATCATTTTTTTTCTTTTTTCTTAAATATTTCTTTATTGTAACTCTGGTATAACTGATTTAAGTGGATGGGTTGCTACAAGACCTTTGCAGAACTTGCTGACAACTGACCAGCTGAGTAGGGAATTCATTCATTTGAATCTGCTGGGCTGAATCAAGGACACATTTTAACACGAACCCGGGACCACAATTCACATGATGCTATAGAAGAGGAAAGCCATAGCATGGTTTGAACCACATGTAGTTTGAACATAGTTTTGGGAAAAGGGCCACACCTTAACCACATTTCTAATTAGCAATCTACCCGTACTAAGTTCAACCATCCTTCACTTTCCATTATGTTCGTTCAAACCAACTCTCCCTTATCCCTATTCATCCCATCTTGCTCATCCCTACTTCATATTTTCATTCTTCATCCATTCCTCCTTGTTCAAGATTCCGTCTGCAGTCTGAAGTAAAAGCTACTTCCTGAAGACACCATCCCGACACTGAGATTCCTCTCCCAAGTCTTCATCAATAAGCCTCCCTGTATGACCCATCCACTCGACCCCTTTCTTCAATAAACCTTCAAAATTGTTTTATTGTGTCTTGGTCCTTGCTAGTGAAGGATTATTAACTGCCTGGCTGGCCCTGAGATCAGTCTCAGCCTCAGCCTCACTTTAGAGCTGTGGTTAAGTTCTCTTCATCTTGTATCTCTTTTCTGTTTCTTTTAGTGGTGTCTTCAGTGCAGTTACCTTCTTCAGATCCACCAACTCTAGCAATATTTTCTTACATAAAGCCAAACTGTTGCTAAGTAGTCATCTTCTTTCTTCATAACTAAGTTTTATCAACGCTTTTCAACATTGTACTGTGGGTTCCAAAACCAGATAAATTGTCAGGAACTACAGAGTTTAGTTTCAACACATTGGTCAGTCTAGTTCTTTTAAAAGATAAAATATAAAATAATTATAATATAAGTGTCTAGTGTATATAACAATTATCTTGCAGCAAAAAGGTATTGGTTCAAATCTCAGCTTGTGGTCTTAGAGTTTATCTGTTCTCCCTTTGCCTTTGCATTTGTGGGTTTTCTCCAGGGACCCCAGCTTCCTCCCACAGTCCAAAAACATCACTGTTAGGTTAATTGAAATTTCTAAATTGCCCTTAGGTATGAGTGTGTGTGGTTGTTTGTCTCTGTGTTGTCCTGTAACAGACTGGAAAACTATGTACCTCTCCTCCCTACCAGAATCTACAGCCATCGTAAACCTTTACAGACACTTGGGTACATAGACAATGAATTTTTTGTATCAGTTTTTCTCAAAACTTCTTGCTAAGGTATAATTAAAACAATTAAACCCTAGCAAAACACATCTGTAAAGAATTTCATGTGGCATATATGGTTTGAATTTTCTAAATGTAGTGGAGCATATTTTGACAACAAGCCTGAAAATGGATAACATTCATTTTCTTTAGTTTTGGAGATGATGGAATCTGACTTTGGTTGTCAAACTGATGTATGTTGGCTGATGGCTGTCAGCTGTAAAGTGAATTATGGCATGAGGCAAAAAGAAAAGAAAAACACATTTCCACATCACTTGTTAGAGAGTTATGAAGCTAATTTTAGAGGTGCTAGGAAAACAAACCTAGGTACATCATAAAAAGGTAGACTTCGAGGGAAGGTTGAAAAGTTCATTTTGGTGAACTGAGGAGCCAAACTAAACACCTCGGTTGTTTTCCTCCCTCTTGCTGCAGCATTGGTCATGGTCCAGCTGGTGTTAGGAAAGAAGATGAAAGAAACTGATAAAAAAGGAAAAACCTGGCATGCTGCTGCTGAAAGTGTCAGAATCAAGACCTATTAGTGCTTCAAATCATTCAGTGAAAGTTTGAGATTTAGGGGATCATACTGGCGGAAGCCTGGACACAGAAACATTGAAACCTCCTCTGTCTCCTGTAAATCTCAGGCTGTCAGGTGAAAATGCAGCTGGAGAAAGTTTAAAATAAGGCTGCCGACTCAGATGATTTTACTTCCAGGGTCCAAAAATCTTTTTTGGTTTAATGTGTCTAGATCCAAACATGAGAGGTCATGAAAATGTGCAGCAGCAGCAACGTGGAGCATAAGGATAAAGAAATTTAAACCATTTCTTCCCCGGATAATCTTGCAAATTGTTCTGGCTTGGAGCTCCAATAAGTAAGAGGGAGTATTACATGTTTCAAAGAGACAAGACTGCAGAAACATAAAACTCCTTAAATCACAAACAACTACTCGCCTGAGGCCTATTTCTTCCAGACACTCAACCCTGACATCTTGATTTAAAACTATGATCTTCCCTGACATTCTTCCAAAATTTTTATTACCTATTCTCATTTGTATGCAGAATTCCTCCATTTAGAGCAGTACAGTGAGTCTAAATTCACTTTGAAGATTCCTATATTTAAAATCTCTAAAATAACAATGAGAAAACTGGTTCAGTTGACATTTTGAACAGCGCTGAAAGTCAGACTTTGCTTGTTTATGATGTAAAGCACTTTGAAATGCCTTGCTGCTGAAATGTGCTATACAAATAAAATTTGATTGATTGATCAAAAATCTCCACAAGAATGCAATTTACTCATCAGTAATGCAACTTGAACTTGAACATTAGAAAACATTGACAGTATTCAAATCCTGTATGACCAGGGTTCTAAGTATCCAGCAGTGCCGACAATTGAGCTCAAATGTATGGATGACTTCAGCAGGTCTCTTGAACATGTACACCGTAATTCATGATGTCCCAGGATTTCTATCCTTGATCGCATTCTCAACATAAAATAGAAAACAGCCCCTTAAGCCCTTGTACTCTATTGTCTCAAGCTCACCTGAAATCCCTTTAGTTTATTAAAGCCAAGATGAAGTATATCTATGAAGTATACCTGACCATTCCAAGTGCCACACATAAATATTGCATATTTACTCAATAAATACATACATTTAAGTCTACTTTATGTGGTCTATTAAAAATGAATGACCTCTGCATTACAATTTCTAAAGTACATGTGGAATCAATTGACTGCAGGCTTCAAAGCTTACAAAAGAATATTATTGACAAATTAGATTTTTGTCATATTGCGGCTCCGCTTCGCAAATGAACTTGAACATATCTGAGATAGTGCTGCTCCTTCCACACCTGAGCAGACAGTTGTCTGCATAATGGCGTCAAAACCCAGGCCTGGTAATGCATGCCCTATAGGTGCTGACAAGGCACCTTGACCTTACATCTTCTTTGAGGTGAATGAGGTTGTAACTACATCTGACTACAAGCCTTATTACTGTCAGTACTGATATATCTCAGATGCTTTTAGTAAGGTTGATATATTTAATCAGTCTACTGTTAAAAATCCCAGACAACGAAAGAAGGTACAACCGTGATATTTTTATCCATTTTGAAATATAAAAGTTAATTTTCACGTATATTGTTATCAGGATTTGCTCCACAATAAGTTGTTGTTTACATGCAAGAATGTAGGTCTGGAAGTCACATTTCATCTCACTGGTCGGCTTTCACCTTGGAAAATCAGGAGCTTTTCGCCGTTGTCCCCGCAGAAGAGAGCGGTCTTCAATATATCTGAGACCTTGGCCAAGGAGTGGCAAACACAAATCCTCGAGGGACAGTGTTCAGTCACTTTAGGATGTATCGTAAGTCCAACACTCTTGACTGAAATGACAATCACCTCACCATCATGTACTCAAGTTCCGGAGTCGTGCTCATGACCTAAAAGTTACAGGAGTGGAGTTTCATACTTGTATTCCAGAGGAAGCTATTTTTTGGCATTGACATCGAAGAACTAGATCTGGAACAATAATTCAGAACCCCTCCTTTCATCTGTCATTCTTTTGAGCAACTCCCTCTTTACTGCAGACAAACTGTTGATCCGTCTGCTATTTTCAATATACTTAAATTCATCTAACTGAGGAAGAGATTTGCCTTAAAGCTGAAGGGACTATTTCATGTTTTCCAGTTAACTTAGCATTTAATAGAATAATAATAGGACTGAGTTCTTGGTCAGATTTGACACGAGACAAAATTGGCAAAATCCAAAATATGCAAAAAACTTTTTTTTTTTCATAAAACTAAGTGTATGAATTAATGAGCAAGGCCTTCCAACAGAAGCTCAGAATGGATCAATTAAAGGACATAGCGCTCCTTTAACTGATCCATTATGTGTTGGATAAGGAGCCTGACTGAAATACTCAGATCTAAAGTAGCATTCAAGGTCCTATCAATATTACAGTGACCATTAAGAACATCAGATTCTGTAATTACACTAATTGGAGTCATTTGTAAAACAAATAGACTGGAGCTGCTTAAAAAGTGGCCCAGGAGCATTGTGTGTGAGATGAAGTTGATAAAGTGGCTGCCTTTGTGTTTCTACTTCGTTTTCCAGCTCACCATAAATGATCCAGAAAATGCCCTAATGAACAATACAGGTGGGAAAGTCATGAATCCTGGAGGTCCCGCTACCATTTGGTGAAAAAGGAAAACTGCTGTTTTCGGGTGACTTGGAGAGCAAACATTCCCAGCTAATGACCGTTTTTTAGAGCAACCAGTATGGGTGAATGAAGCCCAACTAACCTGCTGGGGGAAAAGTGATATCTGAAATGCGACCCTCCACAGGCAAAACCTCTCCAAACCTCTAGAGGTGTGTATAAATGAGGGATGCTGCTAATGAAGCAAGAAAATAAGAATTATTATGCTCTGTGCACCTGCATAAAAATCATAGGCCAATCCACCCTGACTGCTTCTCGAGGATTTAAGAGATTGCAAACCAGCCAGGTGCTCCTGATCAAATATATTGATTGGCCATCCATCATCTATGTGGCCATCTCTACAAAAGAGGAATTTGAACAGAGAATCAGCTGTTGCTGTTGATTGATAAGAGAAGTATTGGATATGACCTTGAAGTAGATTTTTTACAGAAAGACAGATTTTAAAATATTCAAGAAAACTGTCAGTCTTCTCAGGAATGGACATCCCAGCAATGTTATCTCAAGATTTACACATAAAATGCAGAAAAAGTATTTTAAAAAATCTACAGAACTCCAACTTCTAGTGAAACTCCAGGCACTCATTACTACAGCTCTGTTAGAAAGGTTACATTAGAAGTATTTGACTTAGGAATTTATTAAAAACAAACTTAAACAAAGATTCTTGCACCTGAAACAAGATGCTGCAAACAAATCACCATGTAAATGGATCCAAACATTTCCATAAACAGAAAGCATTTTGATATTTCAACACCACAACTAAAAGTTAAGGAAATGTAACCAAGGCATTGCATATCCTTCAGCTTCAGTCATTACCCTGCAAAGAAAAACCTGCACGTCTCAGACAGTTCTCAAGTCGTTATGCCCACCATGACTTCACTGATGTCCCACAGTTTCGATGCCACTTCCTGATCTGTGGCCTTATCCAGAAGTTCCAGAGGCTTACAATCTGCAAAGCACCTTCCCAGCACACCGTCAACATCCGGGCTGGAGGCCAAATACACTGAAGTCTGAGCTCCTTCCTCCGGGCTTTTAAACAAGCCCCGGGAGATCAGGTTGAAAAGGGGCTTTGCTAAAACCGGAATGTGCACATGCCGCCCCAGGTTAGTCCTCACGATGCCTGGAGTTAGAGCATTCACTGTTACTCCACTGCCCTCCAGGCGGCGGGCCAGCTCGCAGGTGAACAACAGGTTGGCCAGTTTGCTGCGACTGTAGGCAAAGGCCTTGTCGTAGAACTGCTCACTGTTCAGGTCTTCGAAGTTAATGTCACCATGTTTGTAAAGCTTGGAGGAGACCACCACGATGCGGCTGGGCGCTGACTGTTTCAGAAGGTCCATTAACAGGTGGGTAAGTAGGAAGTGACCAAGGTGGTTGACCCCAAACTGCATCTCGAAGCCATCCTCTGTTTTGGTGTAAGGACACTGGTAGACTCCAGCGTTGTTGATCAGAACATGTAACCGAGGTTCCTCCTGTTTAAAAGCGCAAAGGAGAAACTCAGCACATCCATGCTTTCCAAAACTAATGAACTCCACAAACATAGAGCCTCAAAGCTCAGTGAGGTTCCACAGAATGAATATCAGGTGTTTTGAGAACTACAGCAATTGATTTGTTTTAAGATTTACCTTACAGCTTCAGTAAATCCTGAAGACAAATAGCTATATCAATGCATGAATATATGAATACATGATGAGAATCTGGTGTGTAACTATGCAATGCAAGTTTATTTTTAATATTGCCTTTGGGTAGAATAAATTACTTGTTGAATTGCAATTTATTTTAGACTCATGTTTTGTGGACTGTGGACATTTGAAACATGTATTCAACAAATTTAAAAATTAAACCTCCGTTTTTAGTGCAACCTAAACTATTATCCTGCACAGAAACGTATAAAGATGTGCGTGATGAAACCAGTTTAAAGATCAACAATCTGTTTACCTTTATAATGTCTTCACAGAAGGAGCGCACAGACCTCAAGGAGGCCAGGTCCAGCTGTTTGACCATGACCTGTGTGCAGTCTGCGCCGGTCTCCTGGCGGATGGCCTGGGCAGCCTCCTCGGCTCTGGTTTGGTCCCGACAGGCCATTATCACCCGGCCCTGGAGCTTCACAATCGCCGCTGCTGTAGCTTTCCCGATTCCGCTGTTCGCTCCCGTCACTATCACAGTCTTTCCCCGCATCATGTTAGCTGGTACAGCCTGTTTACAGACCTGCTGCCACAGCTAGCATCACGTGACAATAACAAGGAAGAAAGACTTCACTACCCAGAATTCTCAGGATGTATGGAGCCCCCTAGGGGACATGTGGAAAAACATTTCTTTTGCGTCCTCTCGCAAAAGAAAAAAACAATTCTCATGTCCCCTGGAGGCTACGTAATGATGGACAGTTGGCCATTAAGAAGCCGGGAATAAAATCTGTTTGTTTTTGAAGATAACATTTAAATCACTTGGACGTGATATTTAATACAGCCGTTTTACAATCATTATTCAAAATCAGTTTAAACTATTTGTATTTCTTCTAGACAAACAGACACAAAACTATTGAAAAAGTGCAATGACGTATAACTGCACATGTTGCTAATTACTGCAAAGACTTAAACTTGGATCTGAAGTAGTCAGATCCACTGACCAGATCCAGATCCAAGAAATGGCAAGGAAAATATATTTATAAGGTTAATGACAATAACTAAGATGCCTGCTTATATTTCTCCCTTCATATATAAACCTGTCAGATAAAAACATTAATCCTACTGTCATTTGTTATTTTTATTTATTTGTTGGAGCAATCAGCATTAAGTGGTTACTCTGGCACAGGTGCACAGTATTGGTAAGTAACTTTATTTTATTTCCTGTCCCAGACCACTTAATGTTTTGGAATAGAAACAATAATCTTATGGTGGGGAGTGTTATATCACATTGTAATCCCTCATTAAAACTTACCTGTAGTGTTTATTAGATTAATTCATGCATGTTTGAGAAATTCTTGAAGCTTCCATGGCAGTCATTTAGGGGTGCCTAAGCACTCGCTCATTTTAAACACTACCTATTTCCACAAAGTTCCTCTTTGGAGCTGCCATCTCCAGCTGAGCTTCTGCCTCACAGAACCTCCCTCCACAACACCTTCCCCACTCAGTTCCTCCAGACTAGTGGTAGGAGTAATTAGCAAGCATCTGGGATAACTGCAAGTCTTCTGAGCTTGACATATATACCTGTGTAAAAACACTTGTAAATGGCATGATGAAAAGGCATGGTTGTGATGATGTGCTGAAGGCAGAGTGTCAGGAAAATCAGGATCTCCTTAAAGAGAGAGAGGCGCCAAATTGTGGAGTCAGATTTCTTAGAGTTATGTTTGATATATACAGCGTTTTTACAACAAGTGAAGGTGATATAGTTACTCAATTTGGCTTTAAATTTGTACTAAATGTGCCTTGAAAATGCAATACTGTCCCTTTCATAATTTAAGAGCATGACAGTGACATACATAGACATTAGACATTTGACATTAGACATACATCTGTGAGTTACAGATGGCCTGAACTGATTTAGCAGAAACAATACATTTTTTTAAGATATGTTAATTTCTTTGAATATAGTTTTAGACTCCTTTAATCAGACTGTGGTGCTGAATCTTCTCCAAACCAGGAGATATTCTCCCAAAAACAAGAACCAGTTTGAATGTTTTCTTTTATGCAGTCATGTCACCAACAGTCCAGGTCAGTGGAGAAGTTTTATCCATATTTCTTTGGAAAGTGAACTAAAGAGGATAACAAAATTAAAATGAAAACAAAAAATGTAATGACTTAAGGTTTTAAGCAGGCTTTTTTTGGAATTCATGTAAATTGCATGTCCTTAAAGGGTATGAACTGTTAAGAAATTAGTATTGATCCTCATAGTTATTTTTAAATGTAGTTTCATTTCCTTTGTGGCTAAATGTTTATGCTTGACCATCTCAAATAGCAACCAAACCCCATTACATATAAAATGAAAGCTGTATGCAGCTTCGAACAGCTTTTTGTGAACTTTTAACTTAATCTCATAAATTCTGTCATCAAACTGTTCAGTTGTCACTATGTGTCATGAATACATAGTTTCATTTACAAGCTGTAAGAGGGTGTGAATCAGTCTGACTCTGGTCAGATGGTCTCTAGTGTCTCACATTATTGATTGTTGTACTGACAGACCTTAAAAAGCACTATGGTGACCTGTGTTATGAGTTGGCTCCTTATAAATGAACTTAGATGAGGAAGTCTAAGACGTGGTGATGTTCCTAGACAGATGAGAATATGAGTATGTTGGGTTAAAGATTACTGTCTGTCTACAAACCATGTTGAATGCCCCACATTTATGCTGCACTGAGGATCCATATTCACAGAATATGAGAGACTCACCACATTGACATGCTACTGAAAAACCTCATATTATTCTCACTGGATTCTCAGATTTCCTAAATAAATCAATGAAAACCTTTAGAGACCCCAGTGGCCTCATGCCAAGAAAAACATGGATTCAAACCCCTCCACTTCCACCGCTGGTACCGAGACCGAGCCTGTCGTGGTTGGTTTCACAGTTGGGGCTCCACCAGCAGCAATAATGTGGTAATAACATCTGTAACATCTGGAAAGCATTGGAGCAAAAGCCGAGCTTGTAGCAGACAAATGAGCCTGGTTCCAGCAGCTGAGAGGGAAAGCAGCTCTGCTCTGCAGATTCCCATCACTCCAGTAGCTGCTGCACAGCTGCCTATGGAGAAAAATAACTGCTGGATGCTTGGACAAACTATTGGGAGAAAATGAGCATATTCATGAGTGCACAGAGGAACTAAACAAAACAACAGTGCAAAGGGGGATCTTATTAAGGGAAATGGTTTAAAGGGTATAGTTACACTTAACAAATAGGATAAGAATATGTCTTAGTTGTTAATAAATAGAACAGTTTAAGTTCAGCCTCCAGCATTAACAGTAAGTGGTCTGTTTACACCGATTCTCTACCATTTCCTGAACAAATCTGAGATGATCTGGTAAAATCCCATTTTAGCCCAGTCTTAATGCCTCTGATCAAAGCAGTCCTTTACAGGTGCTGAAGAGAAAGCATTCCATCCCTCAATGAGTCTTCCTATGCTTTATTTGCTTTATTCTGCAACCATATGGCATGCTAATTAATTCTGATTAACTGTACAGGAGGTTATTAGTGGCAATTTTGAGGCTAAGTAGGCTAATTTTACTTTTCTGTCTATCCATACTCTGCTATTTCCAGATAGCAATTGCTAATGGCAAGATCTCCAGCTCCTGACCATAAGAGAGGGTTGAATGTAGACTGATTCACTGAAAGCTTCACATTTTTAATTCAGAACTCTGTTCACACTAAAACTGTTGGTCCATGGTGTGGTTATCGATTACTTTGTATAATTTAAAAAAATGATCAGACTTATAATGCACATTTTTTCCCAAAAAAGACAGTTTTTTTCCCTCTCTTTTAAAGTTTTACAAAGCCAAATAGAGTTTTTGTAAACGTTTTTAACACATTAATACGATTTTCAGCAACAAAGTACTGGTCTGACAACATGGCCACCTCTGACTATTGTCCCTAATGACTTCTGGAAAAGGTCAGTCTACTGGAGGACAGTCAAATTAAATTTCAGGATGTTCCATACAAGGTCCTGCTGGTGTTCACGTGGTTATGATACAGGGTCCTAGTTTTGCTGTTCTGATGAAGGTATATTTTATCTTAAACACCAAACCCTCACCAAAAACTGAAACAGCAGTCTTATATAAATATAATTAATTTGCACTAAATTTGTTTTCAAAGTAAGATTTCTGTGTGGCTCGAAGAAGTCTTTATCCCAGCTGACAGTTAAAGCTCTGTCCAACTAACATTTTCTACTTGAAAATGTGACGCAACTATCTGTCCAGAGTATGTTTTACTCTGTCTTTATTTTCAATTTCACCAGCAAGAAAAAAAGAGATGAACTCATGTAAGAGCTTTCAGAATGGGTTGTTCTAACATTAAGTTGAAGAATACGGCAGGCAGTGTTTATTATCTTTTCTTGACAAATGAGCAGATTGTCATAATGATAACTGGAGATTTCAGGCCAGAAGATGACATTTTAAATAAATCTTTATATTTTGAGTTTCGTCATCACATGAAGCTCTTCAGCAGTGACTCATTTACCTCCTCGCTCAGGTTAACATGTTTATTTATCAGAAACAATGCTCTTGAGCTTCCAGCACATCAGCAACAAGTCTCATTCTCCCGCCGTCAAAACCCTTTTTTTCTTTCCAAACAGCAACAGCCGAGTCCTCACATTCCCACGTTCAAATCCATGTTTTCACACAAGGAGAAAAAAATAACTAAACAATTAAAGAACTATCTATCATCCAGCTAATAAAAAACAGCTTTAACTGATATAATGTATAGCCTGGACGACAGCAGCAGTCCCAGTGTGTCACTCGGCTAAGCCAAGACTATGCTTTGATAAATGGAGGCTGGTGCTCAATGTGGAGGTGAAGAAACGGGGCCAGGTCCAACTCAGTGGTGAAGCTCAACATATACAGCCCAGTGCTCCCTATATACCTCCATCTGCAGGCAACTCTGAACCCGCTGTGCCCCTTCAGGTGTCCGACACACGTCTCCAAGGTGTCAGAGACAGAAATGTGTCAAAATTACATATTTCCATTGTTATTGTAAGCTACAAAATCTCAGCTGTCATGTTTCTTTAAAGCCTTGTTGAAGTTCAGCATGAGACACTGCAGCTAATATTTGGCTATGCTTGATGACTTACACAAGTAAACAAAAGGATCCCGGAGTAGGAATATCACTTGGTGAAAGTTTTCTTCACTGTTTAACTTACTTTGAAAAACACAGATCTTCACAAAAGAAAACTTTTATTTAATTTGAGAAAATTCCAGAGTTGGCCTGCATATCCTCCAGCATTCCAGGAAGCTTAACTATAGGATAGCAAAAGAAAAACTGAGCCACTATAACTTTAAGCGCTACTAAAAAGAAAAGTTTAAAGCCTAGTCGATGGACAAATTCTTGGCGCTGGTTCCACTGGAGAGGAGCCTGATACCTATAAACAACCAGCACATTTTTACTCTGAGAGCCAAGTGTTCTGTTGGGATCATGGGGAACAATCAGTTCTTCGATTTGAGATGGAGCTTATTTATTCAGAAATTTATATCTAAGCAAAAGTCATTTTATAATATATTATGTGACAGGGACCTTGTGAAGAGGAGCTAAAATTAGACATTTTAATCTCACATTTGTATTTATTTTCCTGCATCCACTTCCTTATCAGT